ATCTCATGAGAATTCTATACCTGATTAAGAATTCACTTGCCAAAAATGTGTGTAAAAGTCTGTAATTGACTCGATTTGTACACAACCAGGTCATCATTGCCTGCACAGATGACAAGCCTAAATATTTAAAGGTATACTTGCCTCCTTTAAGTTAAATTTCTGCTCTGCAGTGTTTTGATTATTTTAGACAGTATTTTCAGCTAATATTTCCTTTGACCAAATAGGGAGAGTAATCGTGAATATTCTGCCCTCTTTTGAAGGATTGTTACCTAACTATTATTCTAATTTGAGCATTCTGTGTGGTCTGGCCTTGGAATTATGATGAGAGATGTGTGATCTCGACTTATTCCAGCCAGAGAAGATTCTAGCTAGATTCTCAGCCAGATGCAGACTGCAATATCTTGGTGGTGACCAGGGTAGTCAGGCACCACTAGCTGTCAGACACCAACAGGCTATCTCAGGTAACTGCTCTGAGGTGAATTTCACCCCAATGCTCAGGAATGGATTTTGAATGCAGGTCACACAATTCAAAGGTTTACCCAACAGACATGAATGTAATGATATAGCCTCAAATGACACAACAGTACAAAACAAAAACCTTTCTGAAACGTGCAGATCTACAGAGCTCAAACAAAGTAAACCAGAAAGAAATAACGATAAGGATGAATCCGGGAGACTTAGAGCCATGTGTGTTTTCTGTCACTTTTGTGTGTGTGATGTCTTTTGATGAATGGGAACACAAGAAAGAAGGAGTCTGCATGAAGAATCCTCTTAATGTTTCTGATAATGTATTGATCATCTTGAGCAAACAATTTACTGAACTAATAAATTGTTTGAAGTTTTATCAAGAAAGATGATCTGTATTTATCAATTGCTAAGATTGTGGGTGGAATTCAAGGTGGGGGGCCTTTACTGTTGGCAGGAGAGCCATAGAGAGCGAACAGCTACCTCTTTTTAAGAAGTGATGCTATGGTAGTCAAATGGGCAGCAGCGCGCCTTCACTGGGATTAAGGATCCCTATCTGCTGAGAGCAGTTAGCCAATAAGGTGCCAGATGCTCTTTATTCCTCATTAGCACTACTAGGAAGATGTTGGTTGCTGCTTGTACTGCACCTCCAAGAGCACCCTCACCACCAGCCCCCACCCCGAGGTCCAGAATCACTGAGGTCACAAGCAAATCTGTCAGTTTGTTTTTTGGGGTTTCCACTGGATAAGTACGAATAGAGCTAACGTGAGGTACATAAGAGCGAATAAACTCCTATCCACCATTTACTTAAGACGGGGATGGGAAGGTGGCAGGACTCTCAGTTGCTCCCGCTGTCAGATTAAATGCCCCTCTCCACCAAAATTACCATGGTTGAGGTTCAGGGGCTGGGAATGCATTGAATTTCACCCTATTTTGCACCATTATTACATAACACTCAAACAATACTGTTATTTATTGGTTACTGCACACTACCTATAGGTCATAAGTCTGGAATTAATTTAAAGGAGCTTTTCATGTTTCTGCATGCTTTCATTTTGTTAATCTTCTGGGTAACAGCTGGCTTGCTCTTGTCAATCGTTCGACAGAACCATAGATTAGGATTTGTATCTTTCAAGCTCTTGTTATAAAAATAATTGGTGTAAAGGTTAAGCAGACAAAATGAAGTGAATTTTAAACCTTAAATCTGTCAAAAACACTTAAGGCTAGAAATTACAGTTGTCAATACTGGCACATGAACACTTAAAATCTGCATGACTTTTCTGTCCATTTTTTTTTAGTGGAGGCCCTAACCCAAGTATCTCAGTTTGACGTGCACTCATTAAAAAAAACTGCACAATTGAATCTCAAGCAGGCTATTGTAACTGTATTTTACTTGGAAAACATCAGCAGTTTATCTAATGCAGTACATACTCTGCTATTGAGGCACAGAAGTGTTTAGCAATGTCTGTTGAGGCCAGCATTAGAGGTCAATGGGGATATTGACCGATATTGGCAAATTCCAAGCTCCAGGTTAAAAGAAATCAGCATGAAATGGTTGTAATTTTTAAAAATAGCTATGGCACTTTCAATTATTTCACAGAAGGGTGGTAGATACAGAATTCTATCTGTATGTCTATTTGTATGTAACCACGGAATAGAACAAGTGAATGAAATGACAAAGATGTTGAAAAATTAAGCTATAGCGACAATGTCTACTGATGTTTGTTCATATCTCTCAAACTGTTGGGTTTGATAGCTCTTACCAACAACTTACATTTATAAACAA